AACTAGCGCGAGCTGTGTGTTGGGAGTCAGTCTTCCCAAAGGAGAACAAATTGTTACAATAGTAGACACAATTTAGTTAAGTATGTTTAGTTAGATATGTTTATGTGTGGGTGTGTGTGTATGTATGCGATGGTGTATGTGTGGTGTGTGTGTGGTATGTGTGCACGGGACCCTTTCCTTCCGGCTCACGCAGGTCTTTTCCGGGCACGGCTGCTTCGGGAAGAACCTGCTCTCGATCGCTAGGAGGACATTGAGTCAAGCCTGTCACCACTGTTTCTTGTTTCACATAACTCCATCCGTTACATTAAATTTCAAAGAAGTTGCACAATATGGTTAACTTAAGTTAACAAAACAATTAGCCGGTTAACATTGTTAATGGTTTAAAAAGCGGCGGCCAGGGTGTAGTAGGCCAGTAACCTCCTGTCTAAGAAGAGGCCTATGACCAGAAGTGGACTAGTAAAGGGCTGTTGATGAAGTGTTAGACAATTCGCTAACTTAGAATGCGTATTGGTACTTTGAGGAATACACAACCGTTTTTGACTCATGCGTAAGAATTTTATAAAGTTGTAAGTATAATCCTCTTATCAATTTTACACTCGATATTTAAGAAAACAATTATGAAATTTTGAAAGTACATGTTCTTAGACATAACAGTTTGGATGTGAATTCTGAATCCAATATGTCTACCATATACATAGTGCTGTAGAAATCCGCTAAGTTTACTCTCCATAAAGGAAGTGAAGTACTCTTCCAGGAAAACGTATGTCAAGAACACAATCAGGCTCAATTCCATTCGAAGCGTCGCTTATTCTTAAAAGTGTTGTTAAGGGACTGCTGCTTATTATAGACGAAATGAATTATGTTTGTCGTAGATGAAAGCTGCTTAGCTTTTGGTTCACTATCACTTTGATTGCGTAACGTGAGTCCGACAGTTAAAGGCTCAATAAAACAATAAGTAAATTTAAAATATAAAATTTGACAGACATCAAAAGATCACATTATATTAAATAAGCAGACATAAATGTATTATTGGTGTAAATATATATTATATCATCCTAGTAGTATCCTCACATATCCTAGTAGTGTGCTATGAAAACTGAACCTGACCTGTCAAACAGTACAACAACTACTATATATATAACTATTGGGTAAGTAACTACACGTAAAAAATAATAATACCACCGAAACATTTTCATGTAAAATGTTGCCAAGACTATATGGCTAGCGCTGTCAAAAAATTATCAGATCTCATAGAGAGCCAAACTTCTAACTCTACACGCCTTAACTCTACAACACCTATCTTCACAATCTCTTCAACTTAGTGTTCGCTACCGTCACATAGGTGTAAAGTGAAAATTTATTCACTAGTAACGATGACCAGATGAACATCGATGAACGTACCGCTACCGTCACATGGGTGAAAAATTTATTTAATGTTCATTACATTTCTGTTAGGCTCTAATAGGCCCTTGCGATTCGCTTAACTCATCTTGGCGGTGGCACTACCGTGCACTTTAAGCAGCCAAATAACTACAAACATGTTTTGCCTTCATTTTAGTTTAGTAACATTTACCTGGCCTGCCCTGCCGGTAGTAAAACTTTGTTGTTTGCGAGTTGTCAAATCCCATGACTGGAACTAAACACTTAAATATTTGTGATCGTTTTAACTTATTAGTAGAATGTGACATGTAAAACAATACGGCAAAACTCTACAAATAAATATTTTTCAACTATTCTGCTGTATAATTATAGAGCGGTATGTGCGAGATACATAATCCTTTTTTTTAATAGTATATCTTTATAAATAACTTCAACAAAAGAATTGTTTGCAATTTTAGTGGCTGTGTGCATGTTAAAATTGGAACCAGTTCTCACTTCCTCTGCCATCCTAGCAAAAATCTGCCCCTCTTGTAGCATCATGTACATAGCAACAACCATCCTCGCTTCTATACATACCTTTATAGGTCCCACAACAGTTATTAATGAAGATAGAATGAATAGTTCCATGCCCTGAAGGAGTACATTAGCGAATCGGCACCCATCTAGCAAGAAAGAAACCTTCCTCCATGGGTAGGACGCGAAGAAAGAACGCAACTTATCCCAGTCCGCTGATCTATTATATACGCGGTGGCATCCTGCAATTCACGGCCGTCGCAAGCACAGGAGTGGTACATTACTCCACCAAAACATTTTCATCTAAAATGTTGCCAGATTAGGCAATGATCCGAGTTTTAAAGTCACCGTTGAGTCCCACTTGTCTCAGTGGGGACTCAATGGTGACTTTAAAACTGTTCGGATCAGAGGTCAGCAGAAGGCCCAACAAAGAAGGCTCATGACTTTCCACTTCTGGCACTTGTGTGGGCGTTGATATCAGTTGTGACAAACCATCAGTCAGAGCAAAATCGTGAAAAGATCTCCCATCATGATCTGCTTTGAGTGAGCCAAGCCATTTGGCGTTTTGAGGGTGAAAGTTGCCAAGTAAGTATCTCTGCGGAACATCCTCCACTCATCCGAGGTGTCATCCTTAACTGTCAATTCTTGTAATAATAAAAGTAAGAATCAATAAGTTATGACAGAAATGACAAATGTTTAATAAATTGTATGAAAATATTGCGATAAAACGATAGTGGTATGTACAACGGAATTTATAGTACAGTATTCGGCTATAACAACAAAAAACAACATTTTCATGTATGTTTGGTAGTTGAAAAAAACAAAATTAATTATTAAATAGGCAACTAGAATAATAAAAAAATATAAATGAAACTGAACTAAGTTCCACAATAATTCATAATAGAATTAGTGAAGATTTGAGTGTCACATTACTTCGAATATGGATTGATAAACCATTATCTCGAAAAGGAAGACAAACATAGATAACATAGTGAGAGCACTATGTTATCTATGTTTGTCTTCCTTTTCGAGGAGAAATAAATTTATCTTCTTCAAATCTTCTTAGAATAAATTTATATTTTGATGAACTCCGGTCTTACTAACCATAATCAAAAATAGCATATGACTGATATGTAACATTAAATTTTAAACATAGAAATTTTAGAACTTAACCAATATTTGTGGCTAATTGTAATTAGTCAATTTAATGATAAATTCAGGTCAAAATATAAATATTAATTTAGAGGTTAGTTCTCAACAAAAAAGACCTATTGCTCTATTTCGATGGATTCACCGTGCGGGTGCCAGGTGGACCTCGTGTGATTAATAGTGACAGCGCCTGGGACTTGTGACCCAGGAGTAGGTTTAGGGAGTGTTCCTTGCGACGCGTCGATGCCCACCTCCATTGTCTGCTGTGTAACATAGCAGACAGTGGAGGTGAGCGCTAGGGATACAATAAATATCAGTAGATAGAGGGCACCGTACCGTGAGTTCTACTGACATTTTGTAAATACTCCACGAATTTTAAAAAAATATTAACAAATAACAGAAATCTAGTGGTCATCTAAACATAACTCTACTTCTCTTTCCAGTAGGTGAACCGTCTGCTCGTCTGCCCCCTCTAACATAAAAAAAAACCTCACTCTGTTGAAAGCAAGCATAGGTGATAAGAAATTCACAAAAGCATTAAAATATACTACTATACTCCATGTATTACATAGGTTATAATACATATACATTGTTTAGTACCAAATACCAAAATGGTTATTTCGATATCACGAGGTTATTTTGAATTTGCAAAATAAAAGATTTTGTCATGTGTATTTCTTGACCCGGAATAGTAGGAAATATATTTTACCAACTAGCGATAGAACGACTTTCAATTATTTTTTTGGAAGGGGGGCAAACGCGCAGATGGATCATCTGATGTAAAATGACTACCGCCACCCACGAACGCCTGCAACTCAGGAGTCAGAAGCGGGCGCAGGCCTTTGAGAAAGTAGGTACTTTAGTTTGGTTACATTAATAACCTGCATGCAGGAACAACTTGGTTTTTGGCACACAAGCCACTATGAGCCGTCAAAATTATGGATTTAGGCAATGGCATTTAAATACAATTTTAGCGCGATAGTAATAAAGTTTGTTTTCTCAACATTTAAAGTTTAAACTTTTTTGGATTTCCTGTAAGCATGTAAAATGCTCTCAAAGAATTGAAAAGTCAACGATATGTTGTTTTGAGGTGGTGACGGCCGTGATATAGGTAGTTTTATCCGTAGACCTACTAGAGAACTATAGCTATTTAACGCCTTATGTGGATCTTAATTTATCGATAAACATTATTATTTGATTAACAAAACATTCATTCAGACACATTCATACGCTAAAAAAAACAATTATCTTGCTTTAATACACTATACATAGCAATTTATCATTATCATGAACAGTCTTAAATAGTCCACTGCTGGACATAGGCCTCGCCTTAGAAAAGAGGGTTTTCTCCTAGTAAACCACACTGGACTTCTGGCTAGCGTGGCAAAAACGCGTCTGGGTTGGTATAAAGTTTGTGTCAAGTTTTCCTTTTCTTTGCAGTATTGTTAAATCCAAATAAAATATATCAGTTTCTAAAAGATACAATCAAATTCATTTATAAAAACCAAGATAAACTTTAATAAGGCATGATACGTCATTCTTAACCCGGACTTTTCTTTTAAATCGACTCGTCCACTCTTGATGCAATTGAAACAACAAGAAGGCACACTTAATAAAATTAAAGCGTAATCGCGATTAGGTCCAGATGTACAGATCAAATACACATAAATATTCATATACTGGTAATTCTAGAAGAATCATGACAATCGTTTTCTTTAAACGGGCTGCAATAAACATATTAATAAAACAAATAGAATTTGTTTTGTGAACGAAAAGTCGAAAAACAATTTTAAATACATATTGAACAGAACACTTAATAATCTACTCTTACTTTTCGTTACACACCGTTTAATCAGTCTGAACCAGTTGACTTATAACGCATTTCTACGCTCGATAAGTAGTGACCCTTGATATTTAATTATTTATTATTGTTACATATCGTTTTGCTTATAAACAAAATGAATTATCTTATATTGTCAGTAGTAGTTTATTACTCTTGGGATATAAACGTCCGAGACATGGCTTTGAAAACCTTATTGCTCCTTTTAGTTGTTTGCATTTCTGTTAAAGCAGGTATGTAATCAACATAAACGTATTTTAGATAGTTAAAATATTTAATAACTTTATTCATATAACACATAACTATATTAAAATGTGGAACTTATTAGTCAACAAAGTCACCTTAAAAAAACTTGAACTAGTTTTTTATGAAAAGGAGGAAATTGTTATTTTATTTGTTTGTATTAAAATTAACAGTTAATTAACACATTATATTGTTTCAGAAACACTGTTCAATCCCTGTGTTAAAGATGACGTTAAATGCGTTGGGGCCGCTACACAGACTTTCATGTCAAAAACTTACGGTGGTTATCCAAAATTGGGTATTAAACCGATTGATCCACTAATCGTACCATCGACTGATATTTCCATTGACGAAAAAATAGGACTGGTGCTCCACTTTAAGAATACCAATATTACAGGACTGAAGAACTTGCAGATAATTGACTTCAAGTATGTTAACTTTTAAAGCATTTTAACCGTTGCTATGGTAACCATGGTTTTTTTTGCAGGGAAACATTTGATACGTGTTACTTATATTAATTATTATTCCAGATAGTCTTATTCAACGAAATCGTAGCTTACGTCAAAGATATTCTGAAGTTTTTTACTATCAACTACAGTCATGCCAGGTTAGGTTAAAAAGTTTGGTTAATCTTTAAAAAACACTTAAATCACCTCTCTCTCTCTCTCTATCTCATAGCGTCTTAATGATAAATCTCTCTGAAACTCGTTCCTTTTGGAACCTTGTTGGATAGTTCATTAACCAGTGATGCGTGCGTCAAGCAAATATTCAGAGCAGAGATAATTTGTTAATTAGGGAGAGCGAATAACAAAAGATTAAATAAAATTTAAAAGTATTAAAGAAATAATTACGGTTGGTACGTGATCCGTTCATTGTCCAAGTAGATTATTTATAGAAGTACGTTTTCATAAAACGGCAAGTAAAATGACCACATAGAAAAGTAAGGCCGGTGGCTCATCTTGAAGCACTTTAAGCTTGACTTGCCAGAGACGTTGAGCAGATCTTGGTGCAACAGTTGTAGATGGCTATAGTGGGGCAACAGCAGTCACCACAGCAACCTCCACAGCATCCATCGCAAAACATTTTTGATGAGGTTTAGAATAGTAATAAAACAACAACATAATTTTAAAAAATTATTTACAATGTCTTTTTAGATTTTTTGTGCTATTACTTCAAGAATAGGTCAGTTAGGTACTGACCTCTGATGATGAATTACGAATGTGGATACATCCTGCACTTTATACATAAATAAGCTTACGAAAATGAGACACAAGCGGCGGATTACAGCCTGTTACATTATTATAGATAAAAAATTTGCTTTGACACTTAATCGTGACCTTAACGCTAAAATAAATTCTGAGGCAGAATGAATACGAGTTCAAAACATAAAAGATATATATCAATTTATACTCATTACCCATCATGACTCTTTAATTTTTTTGACGCTAATAGTACCTACTATAGGTATACGTATCAGTTTGAGGTACAGATTATTTTTTTTGTCTCTTTATAAAACAGATAATGAAGTATATACATACATACAACAGTAAAGTATAAATAACAATAGTCACATTGTTTTAAATTCTTGTGTAATCACTTTATTACAAACAAATAAAATTGGAGTATATGTATTTTAGATTGGACACAGATAAAAACATTGGACTAATGAAAATGCAAGCTGATGTTTCGATAGTTAGTGATGTAGAAGTTGAACTAACTAAACTGCAGAAAGTGTTTAAAGGACCTTACACTGCTTCGACAAGTAAGTATACGGATCCTCTATATGATCCTCTATATACTTATGTATACCTTAAAAATTTCAAATGAAATTAAGAGTACATGCATCTCACAGTAGTAAATCTCACTATTATTGTGACTCATAACGTCTGATCTGGATAAAATTAAGCACAGAGATAGATTATAGACTGAAATAGCATATAAGGACTTCATCTCGGAAAATTGATTTATTAAAACGACATTTTTTTTTTGTTATAACTTTTTGCACAAGTACATGCATCGGCGGACTTAATGCCTAAGGCATTCTGTGCCAGTCGACCGATTGGGCGGTGCTGAGAAAGAATGAGGTAGGTGCATTAATGCACGCAAAGCACTAGACCTAGCCCTAAAAGCTGGTTAATTATAAATCGTGTTACATTATAGTATTCATTATTCTACGAGATTGGTTTTAGGTAACTTAAGTTACTATGTAAATTTATTTCTCTTTTTATAGCTTCGATCGTGGTGAAGCACAGGTTGGAAGCGGATCCTCCTATTATTTATTTAATAGCCAAACCCTAAATCTATTGGTTTTCAATGACGACCAATTTCAACCACCACATTAGTTACCATTCAAAATAATTAATTATGTCTGGTAAAGTTATCGTTTTGATTTTCCTTGGACAGCTATAGTCGGCACATCAGAATACGGCGCCAATTTAAAAACTGTGAATGGGAAGCAGTACTTTGACCTTGGCCCAGAGACAACAAACTGCGAAATCCTTGGGGAACCAATAGTGAGTCTAGGTGCTGAGTTACAAGGAGCTATAGATAAAGGTATGTTATGGCTTAATTATTACATTTTATCCAAGAAAAAAATAAAAGTGTGCTGGTTCTTTTATACCTGTCAACAGGTATGTTCCATTTGCTCTTTACTGACTTTATTTATTTTTCTTCTCAACACCATCTGTGCGGTGACAGAATAAAAAATACTGAGTGTCACCACACCTATTCATCTCGTGTGTATCGTAAAAGCCGACTAAGGAAACAAACTACGCAGGACAACAGCACTGCAAGCAAAATAAATTGACACAAACCACCAAATTGACCTATACCAACCCGTCTGGCCAACGTGCTATAGCGAGACAAAATCTAATTTTTAAAGAGAGACCCATGTCCAGCAGTGGCCTATTAAGGATGGTGATGATGATCTTCTCAATATGATTATCTGTAAAGTGAGCATACCAAAGTTTGACTTTAACTATTTTATAAAATCACTCTGTTCTTGAAGAAAATCCAGGAAAAAACAATTAAAAATCCATTTTAGGTACAAATTCGTATAAAACGTTTATTTATGACTCACTCAGGATTCAGTTGACGTGAGTTCACAGAGAAACAAGTCAACAATGAAATTTGTATTTGTTAAAAATTATTGTGGTATTTTCAAAACCAATCAAATACGCGTGTCAATCGTAAATACTAACAGACACGAATAGAATAAAAAATCAGATAAGGATATTATACTTATTTATACACAAATTTATCTGCATCGAATGTATATAGACACACCTACGTCCATATTAGGTATATATTTGTAATATTTGTAAAACATTCGTAAAGAAAATTTGTTCTGATACACCGGCCTTGTCCCTCGCTGAATCTTATAAAGTTTGACTGGCCTACTAGTCAACATACACGAAGCGGACATTGTGCTGAATGGCATCTTCTATGACATGTGGCATTATGTGCGCTTCGTGTATGTTAATGTAAATACAGAAACTGTTAAAAAAATAATATTAATAAGGCTCTTTGAATCATCTGATCTTTTCAATTTGGGATCAAATTTTTCTTTTTTTTTTCTTTAATATTTATATAGATATAAAAAATAAGATAATTAGTAAAAATAAGTAAAATGCAATTATATTTCCTAAAACACACACGGTGTTTCAGGAAATATAATTGTATTTTAGAGGTAAAAAAACAACAACTTGGTATTTTTTTAAATAATAGTAAATATATTTTTTGACACCCACCGTAGTTTTCTTTGTAATATACTTTCCATGACATACACACACGTAAAAATTAGTTTCTAAGTTTAACTATCTAAAACCTCAACTTTCAACTATTTTAAACTAAATTTTGATTGTCAACAGATAATGACGCATCACGCCTAAGGCCCGAATATGAAGCTAAAAAATCAGCCTTACGCAAGAAGGCTCTGTGCGTGGTCTTGAAGCAAGGTTTTTCAACCATCATTAGCAATTTAAGATCTGTAGCAAACGCCTTTGATAAAAGTGCCTTCTTTACGGATATTTAAGTAATAAACCGATGTTACCGTTTACTATGCGTTTAATTGTTAAACAGTATATTGTTACCGGACTTTAACTGGCGAGCTATCAAAAATTCTCAAAGATTGCTTTTTAGTTTTTTTTTCCTAAGGTGGTCCCTTAGGAAAAATAAAACTAAACTTACTTACTTCTACTACTTACTTCTTGTAATTAAAGGTATTGTTTACTTTTTTATGTCACCCTAAAGCCTTGAAAGCGTGACAAACAGATTAATTTCGCATCATAAAAGATACTCCTTCCAGACAGAAAACAAACTGGGCACAGCCTGTGCCATGGTAACCACACTGCATTCTTCTACATTTATAGATAAACTACACCCAGACACAACAAACGATTGTGCTCACCACACAATATTTGTACAAGGCAATCGAACCTATGACCTCTGACTTCAGTCAGTGACAGCAGTCAGAATAACTAACAAACCCGACATAAATTTAGCTTTTGACGTTCACAACTTCACACTATAACTTAATAAAATAAATATGACATTATTATTGGAATGGTATGCGTAAAAATTAATTACAATTAAAAAAAAACTAATATATACAGTTTTGTAACTCGCCGAACTAACAAATAGAAAATAATTTTCTACAAGTTCAAATAGAAAAAATCATTTCATCCTAAAAATGCGTGTTTTTAGGTATGGAAAAAGCCGTTAATCCTGAAGATCCTGGTTAGGATTATCGGCCAAATTATTGTATTGGTGTACGAAGATTCGAAGATACGAAGATGGTAAAAGGACTATGACTTCTTGGTATTAGCCAGTTTATGATACAAGTTTTGGACCCCGATCTGCTCAAACTATTGTTTACACTTCCTAATCGATCCATATACTTAAGTAATATGTCATTTATGTATCATAATTAAGTCAGTTACGTATTTAGACATAATGTAAATGTTTTTTTGTATGTGATATACTTAGGTAGTTATGTATGTATGTACATTTGTTGGTATATGTAAATATGTGTTCTATGCGTATATATTTATCTTATTTTACCTTTTTTATGTTCATTAGTAATTAACCTGACAAAACTCATTGCACCTTCAATTACTACTGTCTCTCCGAAACATTATGATCCATCCTAGGGTTGCCTAGAAGACATTGCTCTTAGCAAGAAAGCCGCTCTTTGTACCTTACACGTCTGATATTTTATTTACTATACTACTTGCAAAACGGTGTACAAATATAGAGTTTTCTATCTTTTCTGCCATTTTTCAACCTTCTTACCTACTTTTAACTTTACTTTACTTATGTAAGTATTCAATCAGTCAATCTAGCTTTCATAGTACAACCTCTGCTTAGTTGGAAACTAGATGTCGTTGTGTGTTAGATGTCAAAGAGAAAGCAGCAAGCCGGTAATGCGGTACTAAATTTATAAAGGGCACATAAAAATAATTTAATTACTTTTTGTATCAAATACATGACTGGATCTGTTGGGCAAGTTGTTAGCGATACTGACTGCTAAGCCAGGTGTGGTGAGTTTGATTATTACCCAGGACAAATTGTGTGAGGAAAATATTAATTTGTTCTATATCTAAGTGTAATTTATTAAATTATTTTGTTCATGTTCCCTTTGTGCGCCCTTTCGGGAGCACAAACGGAACATGGAGGTTCCCACACAGGCGGGGATCATCCGAGGGATTGCCGTACAAACCAAAAAAGTCTTGTAAACCAATATACTGAATCAATCAATCAATCAATCGATTTATCGGTTAGAAAAGAACAGAGACCCATTGATTGCAATCAAACCTGAGTATTTAATTATAAGGAAAGTTTTAAGCAGTAAAATACCTTACTCCAAAAGTTTATTTAGACCAAAGCATGCATATTTCAGTGACAGAATCTCATAGAATTATGAGAGCTACGCCACATCGATAAAGACTCTCTCGTTTTATTAAAAACCAAACAGACTACAATGTTACAAAACGTAATGTAAAAAACTAAAATATCATAAAACTTTTTCAATATATATATTGGACATTACTAGTCAAAGTAAAGCAAAGAGAGTTGGAAATTTACTGAATTGTTGTCCCAAGACCCCAAAACCAATTTACAAACTCTATTCAAATAAAATTTTGGACACGGTTGATATATTGAGTTAGATTGCTTATAATGCTCATACATTTTTTTAAGTTTGTTTTTAAGTTTTATAAATACCTTCCTTCTTTCGAAATAGTGTGATATAATCTAAAATTATAAAGTTTATTCTTGAAATCCTCACCGCATCAATGCAAATTTTCACTATCATCATTTGTATTTAACAAAAATTGCAGGAAATGACTCTCAATTGTTTTATTTTGACTGTTTAATAGAGACTGAATAAATAGAACAAAAAGTAAATATTCAGTAAAATAATATCCTAGAACAAACTCAATTTTATTTTATAAAATCCACAAGAACGTACAAGATCACCCTCTTTTATCTACTATGTTATTTCTTGCGATAGTTACGTATACAGTAGAAGGAAGCCAACCAGCTCGTTTAACTGCATGTTAGGAACTTCGAATGCAAGACTTTATATGACATTTTTCTTCGTTTATTCACGTCTATATTCAACAGTCAAAATAAAACAGTTGAGAGCCATTTCCTCCTATTTTTTAGTTTTAAATTGTGATATAGATTTGTCTCCGATAACAAAGCCGCACGACATACGTATACCTATGAATGATAGCGCGTGAACTAATTAGAGATTAGGTTTCTATTGATTTTAAAAGGATTGGTTACGTGTGTTTTACAATATTTTTTTATGATACAGGGAGCAAAGGAGCAGATGAATCACCTAATAGAAAGTGACTACGGCCGCCTATAAAGGCCTTAACTCAGTATTCACAAACGCGTTGTCGACCTTTGAGGTGAAAGTACTCTCTCTTTTAACATAATTCAATTTAATAAGCACATACTCTGTAATAATTAAGAAAAATAATAATTATACATCGCTACCTAGACCCTGGAAGCAAGACCCTAGAGATAGATAGACGTTTGTTGTAAATGCATACATTTTGTTCGTACATAGGGACGCTCAGACGCTCAGACATATATGTAGATGCATACAAATATCTGTAGCGGTGCGTGGTAATCGGATGCACAACCGCCACACCACATACACATAAATACTACTCGTGTTTGTCGCCCAAGGATGTGACAGTTTAGGATTGGGCTGCCAACTGGTGCGTGAGGTGTACACGTGCTAATCTATTTAGCTCTTCATCTTAGAGATCTACGTTAGAAATTCACGTTAGCATACAAAAAATAATAATCAGAAAACATTCAATTCAAACAACATGTTTTTATTTGTAAGTTTCCGTTAACTGATTATCATTATTACGATAGACAATTTGTTTTTTTAGTTCTAGTTGCTTTTTAGTTCTTTCTCATTATCTAACATATCGGTTGTTGTGTGGTCAAATTGTTCACTCGTTTGCCATGTTTACATGTTATGGTGAATTTAGTATAGTTAACTGATACCTGTATGTTTAGTAGTTTAATGGACATGATTGTCCATGGTGAGCAGGATGTCTAATTATGTTATTTTGAGCAACTTGAATTGTGTGAAAAATTAAGATACTACGAGCGGCTGTTCTTAAAGGACGAATATTAATAAAATGTGTCTCTGTTCTGAGTGTGGTGTTTTATTTCGTAATTCTTTTGGGAAGTGTACAGAAAGTTATGACCGTTTTTAATTGCCGGATATTTTCAGCTACAATTCTCATAAAAGCAGATGTGTAAAATAGAAAAAATAAAGTTTTCTAACTTATTTTATAAGTAGTTAGGAATTGACGTAAATCTATATTTCAAGAGATTAGCTGGTTCACCAGATCGATCGTATCATTCATGACATGTAATGCACAACTTTGCACCATATTGCCTGTAAAAATTGCTTGAACCAATACAGGAACTATTAATTTCCTCTATCAATATTATTATTATTATTTATTGGTATTGGTAATGGTATTAAAATGCACTGGCAAAAGATATGTGTTTTTTTAACAACTAATACTAACGCTTGTATAACTAAAGCTGGTATTGACTCAGAACCTACTGGTCCTCTGATAGTCATTCCCCGAAGTAAAAGTTGTAGATTCGGCTCCTATATAGATGTCTATTGGTCCCCTGATGGATGACCAGCCGATATTTTTTTTAAAGTATATTAAGTAATAGATTTACCACCTACTCAGATGCCTTTAGGTTCCTTAAAAGAAAAACCAGCCATACTTTTACATAAAAAGGCGGTGATGTAGTAAACTTGTGAACAGTAATCAATGAAATTAATTTAAATAATTATATTATTAAATATATTATCAACTTTAAATCTAAAATGAATTACAAACCTCTTTTTCAGATAAATAAAGAAATCAATTTGTTCGTTTCAATAACAAAATTGAAACAAACGCCCTTTATTTATTCACTAAGTATATTTTCTATCAAGCAAAGTTTAGGGAGTTGAGGGTTCAATTATACAACCTCTGCTTACAACAGGGTACATTTAGAAAGTGTACGTTAAAGTAACGGCTCTAAAATTATTAATTAGCTATTATTAATAGCTCAAAACTCCCTAAAACACAGTTATTTTTTACTAATAATAATTAGATTGAGATTCAAGGTTTTTGGACTTAAAACAGTCCTTGACTAAGAACATTACGAAATAAACTTGTTTTATATAATTTGTGTGTTTGTCTGTTTCACTAATTGTTTTATCTGCGAGATCAAAAATAGGAAAGTTCTAAAATAGATCAAGGTTAAATGCTCACATCTCCGGGTAACCTATCACTATAACGTTTTCAATTTGCGATGTCGACGAGCCTAGACACTATCGGCATCCGTGTTCACGATGAGCGACACTTTCAATATTCATTTTTTTCGGATAGCATCGATTTCATCTAAAATGTAGCTGTTTCTATCTAAAATACGCCCTCCAAAAAAGTATGTATTTTTTAACATGTATGTACGAGTATGTGTTAGAATGGCAAG